AGGGCAGCAAAAGCTACCGAAATCTAACATCTCCATGTACGTATACTAACCAATGGTCATTGCTCTCTCTGATCTTGAAGTGCAAAAAGGGGATTTGCGAAGCCTTTATTTCCAGTTGATGCAGATGAAGTTAATCATGGATTTTCTGCACCACCTTCACTCTATCCTACTCCTTTTCCAACTTCGTCATTGGGAAGCGTTAATCCCCACTGGAAGGAAAAGCAATTCTAATTTCCACCGACAATAGGTGCATTCCCCACCCATGTTTATCTTTTCCTTTGTTGCGTGTTGCTATGTAGTCCTCAGAAAGGAGGAGACGACATAAACTATACATGTATTAGGAAGAGAAGAAAGAAAGTCAATCATTCTGTTTGCCTTGCCAACTGCTTCTCTCTTCCTATTCTTAAAATCGATTGGCTTCCATTTATGTTGACCAAGATATTAACAAGGAATGAAATTTGAAATTGATTAATCTTTTTTTATTCTGCCATCGACTGCTACATCAATACCCATTCATGTTTGTCGAGTTACTTCAGATAAGGTGATGCTTGAAGGTACATTTGTTTAACTCTTTATAAATTGATTTAAATTTCTCTACCAGACATTCTAAAGTGATGTCTGAAACATATTTTCTTATTGATTAAGCGCAACATACAACAATTTTCGATATGTACAAAGTAGTAATAATTTGAACACTCAATTATTATTGTGCAAGGAATATGGGCGTCTGTTCAATGTACCCGAGTCACCTCCATCATACCTCAAGAATACAATTCAACTATACGCACCCAGTTGGTTTTGAGGTTTGAAAGTAAATTTGATGATGCATGCCAACTGTTCGATAAAATTACTGAACCAAGTTTTTGAATTTTTATTCAAATCCATTATTCATATCTTACATGAATCTTAATTTTGTGCTTACTTAGTGTTTAATGTTATCTTTTTAACCTCTTTTATGAAATCAATAAACTAAAATATTGTTTGGTTCCCATTAACTTCAGGAAAATTCAAGGTGACCTATGTGACAAAGAATATTCAATTGATGATGAATGAATTACTTCCCCATGTTATTTGGTTCGAGACAGGTAACTTTGGTTGCTTTATATCCTAATATTACTTACTGAAAGGACTAATACCAGGAAGAAATACTTTAAAAAACTTGGTTTGTTGTAATGCATATACCTGATTGCAAAGATGCTAAGGAAGTAATTCATGGGAACAACTCTTAAAAATGGGGAAACAGGTATGTGATCCAATCCCATTTTCATCTTTTTGAATTGGGGGCATTTGTTACTTTTTTCTCCAAAAATGGCTAATATAATCTACCATTTATGTATTTTTTGTTTATGCTTATTCAAACTCATTTCTTTTATTTATATATTATAGCTCTAAATTATCTAGATGTAAGTATATCTAATATGATCATTGACAGATGTGATAAGTTTTGATGAGAAGTTATTTCTAGGAACAAGTTATTTAGGCATTGAAAGGTATGAGCATGTTTGTACTGTTGTGCGATTTAGTAATCAGTTGGTGATAATCTTTCTCATATACATTTCTCTGTTTTTCTTAATCAAGCACACGATCTATTCTTGCTTGGTTTAGAAAAGTTTTGTTAGAGGTGATTAAGGAGGTATTACAAAGATATGTATGGATGAGAATCCCAACTCAAATGTCAAGATTTCACAGGTTTTTAAAATACGTAGTTTTAACATGATGACATATGACAATGATCAACTTTCACAAGAGCTAGCAGAGGTTGACGAAATATTTGCAGATGAAGTTATGATTTTAAAGGGGTTTAGTGGAAATTTGGATCTGAAGTCTATGGTTCGTTTAATTCTTCTAAATGGTTGTCTTTTCTTATTTGTTATTCGGTTTATTTTACATTTTACTATGCATTTCTTTTTTATTTTATTATTTTATTTATTTATTTTTTTGCTGTTAAGGTTTGTCATTTTCTAAAACAATAATGTCGTTTGGGTATAATTATTCAAATGGGTTATCTTTTCTTATGATGACTCAACACTAACTAAACGTCCTGACATTTTTTGTAAAGTAATAAAAACTAAATAAGATATTTGCACATCCAACCATCCCATTTATTATGTCCTAAAAATGTAATAAATTCCAACTTATTACCCATCTAACAATTAGTCAAAATATGCATCTAATATCCTTTCGTCCCATGCGGAGCATGGGCATCCTACTAGTATACATATTAAAGTTCTCAACAAAAGGAATAGTAAACTTATCATTTTTTTTGGCAAAATTGATCTCTGCATTTTGCTTTTTATTTTTTTACTTATTTTGATACTTTTGGTCATTGCAATCAATATTTTTACATTTTTTAGGAATCTTTTAATATTTAAAGTTTGGCCACAAGACTTTAACGGTTTGATAACTTTGATCCCTTTTCTAAAAATTTGCTAATTCCTACCTGTTTAATTCTTTATCCGTTTTGACACTTCTGATCTTTGCAGTCAAAACTTTTACATTTTTTTATAAAACATGAAAAAAAACGGTCCGAGGCAAAGCCCGGACTTTTCATTGTTGCACTTTCTACGTTTGTCATATTTATCGATTCGGAAACAACATTGAAAACTTTTAGCCCCCGCGTAGCGGGGGTAACCTTTCTAGTTATAATAAAATCAATTTAATATTAAAAACATTATTTAAAAATCAAACGTTCATATGATATTACTAAAATACCCTTTCTTTGTCCCTTTGTATATATTATTCTTAAACTCCATTGAGGTTCTTCTTTTTCTTTTAGATTCATCATCCATACACATACAAAGATGTGTATGTTTGTGTTTTGCCATTCACAAACGCACCATAAATCTAATTTAACTTTCTTCTTATTTAGTTTTCTCTTAATTAATAAATTAAATATCTACTCCTACTTACGTTAACTTATTATCTAAATACCAAATTCTATTTCTTTTTTAATTTCTTCAATTCCGAAAATTACATAAAATTTATATAAATTATATTTTGCTTTCTTTTTAATAAACGGGAATTGATATTTAATTTACTAAGAAAAAACTATAAGAAAAAAAAGTTAATTGGATTTGATATTTGTGTGTCAAATGGGCTTTTATGCATTTTTGGGTTTTTGATGTTAGATAAGGATCATCAAATGACATACATAAACAAATCTCTTGTGTTTTTATAAGGATAAAGCGAAAAAAAGCAAACATTGATGGAGTTTCAGAAATGTGTTGATGGAGTTTCAGAAATATATACAAAGAGATTTCGTGAGGCATAAAAAGGGTAGTTTAGTAATATTACGTGATAGTTTGATAATTAGATAAATTATTAATATTAAATCGATTTAATCTTAATTAAAATTTGAGTTTGGATATAGACGTAAATTTTATAGTTTTACATGGATGTATACCTAATTTTAATATTTGTAAGGATATTGACGTGATATTAAAAGTTTATAAGGATATAAATGAAATTAACCCTATTTTGAAAAAACAACATATTAGTCAACATAATATTTTTGTTTTCTACTTTTAGATAATTACATTATTTGAGTGATTATTTTTTTTCCTAATTCACATTTCACAGTTTTATTGTTTTATTTGACACAGATAGTTTTTTTTTCTTGTATTTTTTTTTATTTGACACAACACTTTTATTTAACACAGTAGATCGTATATTTTCCAAACAGATACAAAAGAATTTTTTTAACTTACAAAATATTCTATAACATAAATTGATTTGTCATATTTGATTAACCATATATTAAAATATCATTATATGTATTTTCCTTTACCACTTATTAATTATGAATTTATATCAGCATGGTAATTTTTTTATAACATTTTTATTTATTAATTGTAAAACATATTTTTTTTCTTATAAGATCTTCTATTTTTTAATTATAAAACACATTTTATTCTAAATTTATTATTTGTAATTTGTTATATGTTTTCATAAATATCTATCAATAAGTTAAATTTAAAATTTTCATATAACAATTGTAGTTCCAACCTTAAATAGGCTATACCACATATATGTTTATTTGTTTAGTGTAAAGTACATTGGTATGTTCATTTGTTTGGGATTAATTAAGTAGAATGATACGTTAAACGTTGTTTATAGATCGAAATGACATCAAATAGAGAATAGATATATACAGAAAGAGACTCACTAGGAATGAGGCTTTCAATACCGAATTTCGACATTATGTCAATTATTTCTTGGACTTTGCTTACACCAACGCAACAAACATCCAACATAGTATTGTGGAAGGGGTGGAGGTTTTTGAAATTAGATACCCGTGTAAGAAATGCAAAAATAATTATTACAAGACAAGAAATTTAGTTGAATTGCATCTATGCCAGAATGGGTTCATGGAAGATTATATGTTTTGGTATGCACATGGGGAATTATATCAAATACGAGAAATTGGTCCATGTTCAATCTCTGAAACAGCTCAAGACAATGATGAAGGTGTGGGTGATTATCGTCATAGATACGAGCAGATGATTATCGAAAGCATGCATCAAGTTGAGGCTCCTTACTATCAACATGCTCCTTATTGTCAACAAGCAAAACAAAACCCAAATCAATCAACCCAAACTTTCTATAAAATGTTGAACCAAGTTAGCGAGCCTTAATGGGACGGGTCCAAAAATGCTTCCACACTCTCCACCACCACCAGATTGTTGAACTAGAAATCGGAGTGCAATGTATCAGACTCTTCAATTGATAGATTAATTCCTATAATCAATGGCAGTCACCTATAGGTAAGAAGCTTCCTAACAACTTTTACGAGACCAAGAAAATGTTGAAGCCATGACAATTTCCTTCACAATGAATTCATGTGTGTATAAACCATTGCATGTTATTCTATGGATATCATGCTAATCTGGATCGTTGTACAATATGTAATGAAAGTAGATACATGGAATATCCGACTTGGGTTGTGTACCGATGGGTTTAGTCCAAATAATTCAAATGGGAGTCCGTATTCATGTTGGCCAATGTTTATCACAGTATACAATCTACCTCCTTGGTTGGCCTTAAAACATCAATACATATTGCTTCCTTTGATCATTCTTGGGCCGACGAATCTTGGACAAAATTTGGATGTTTTCCTACAACCTTTAGTGCATGAGTTAAAGATGTTGTTTATAGATGGCATTGAAACTTATGATGCTCATCGAAAGGAAAATTTCCAGATGAGAGCTGTATTGACGTGGTTAGTTAGTGATTTCCCTGCTTATGCAATGTTGTCCGGATGGAGCACACATGGTAAGTTAGCTTGTCCATATTGTTTGGATCAGTCATAATCATTCTGGCTTCAAAAGGGAAATAAACATTGTTGGTTTGACTACCATATTAAAAAAAAATATAAGATTAATTTTAAGAAAAACAAGACATCGAAGAGCGAAGTAGATATTCCGTACCTAACCGGAGATGAAATTTGGCAGACAGTCAAACATTTTAACACTGTTTATGAAGGGACTCCATATGGTCCAAATTATATAAACCCGGATGGTTTTGGAGTGACACATAATTGGGTAAAGAGGAGCATTTTTTGGGAGCTTCCCTATTGGCGTCATTTATTGATCCGACATAACCTTGATCTGATGCATATCGAGAAGAATGTGTTTGAAAATATGTTTCATACAAGTGTGGACACCCCCAAATATAAAGATAAATTTAGCACAAGACAAGATCTTGAGATGCTATGTGACCGGCCTCTTCTAAACCCCGTCCGGGACAATAAAGGGAAGGCTTGGATCAAGAAAGGAGACTACACTTTAGAGACGGTCAATATTAAAAAAGTTTGTGCTTGGCTGAAAAAGCTGAAATTTCCAGACGGATATGCATCGAATATAAGGAATTGTGTGAATGTCAAAATGACGGTTTTTACGGTTTCAAGAGCCACGACTATCACATCTTTATGCAATGGTTGCTTCCACTTCCAAATATGGTATATGAGGCCATAACAGAGTTATGCATGTTTTTTCGAGTATTATGCTCGAAAGCATTGCATATGGAGGACATGTACAAAATGAAACACAATATTGCTCAAACCATCTACAATTTGGAGAAAATATTCCCTCCTAGTTTCTTTGATTCCATGGAACACCTAATCATACATTTAGCTGATGAAGCAATTCTTGGTTGTCCGGTGCAATATAGATTGATGTATCAATATGAGAGGTAATCATTTTGTTTGTAATATTAAGTATTAAATTTTTACATATTCGTTTTAGTATTCATAACACGTTCTTGATAAATTCTAAGTATAGAAAGTTGGGCATAATAAAAAGAAGAATTTGGAACAAAGCAAGGGTTGAAGGTTCAATCGTCAATGAACATCTAGTGAATGAAATCGCTACATATTGTTCTTTATATTTTGCCCCCACGGTTGAGACACACCATAATCAAGAGCCACGAAATTTCGCATCACAACATGACAACTCTTCAAATGGAGATGTATTACGCATATTTTCCTTTCCATCAAGAATATTACATGAAAAGGGTGGAAAGAAAAGACTCTTGAAACATGAAGAAATTCACAAAGCACACACTTACATCCTACTAAACTGTGCAGAAGTTGCCCCATTCATCCCAAAATTTGATTGAGCAGCCCAAGCATCATATCAAAATGAACCAATTTCAGTACTTAGAGATAAAGACTTTGTAGAATGGTTTAAATACAAAGTAAGTAAAACCAATTTAATCATACTTGTTAATTTTTGTGTTTTTTTCAATAAATATTTTGCATATATGCTCTTTAATGTAGTTAACGAGGGACTCAACCGATGGAAGTGCTAAACATTTAGAACCTTTAGAAAATGGACCCTCGAACGATGCTCGGTCTTACAACGGGTACTTTGTAAATGGTTATAAGTTCCACACACAAGAATATGGTAAAGGACGTGCAATGAATAACTATGGACTATGCGTGAGGGGGGAGATGTATAATGGCGAAGAGTCAGACTACTACGGCTTATTGGATGAGATTCCAGATATTGACTATTATGGCATTGGGTGCTCGGCTGTTGTGCTATTCAAATGCACTTGGTTTGATAATATCCGCGGTGTAGTAGTTATCAAGAATAAATTGGTTGATGTTAAACCTACGTCTGATATTCAAACTAATGACCCTTTTTGTTTGGCATCACAAGCGAAACAAGTATTTTATACACCATATCCTGCGGTGATAAATGAATTAAAAGATATTTGGGCGGTTGTCAAGACAAAACCAAGAGGGGTATATGAAGTCACCGAAGCTGAAACGGAAGTTACGCTTGATGGAAGCACTGAAGCAATGGAATCTTTCATCTTGATGAGCGGTTTGAGTTACCGAATGAAGTAAACGTTAGTGAACGTTTGAGCCTAGCCTCAAATAGAACTAACTTTGAGCAAATATCTTCCAATGAGAATGAGGGGTTTGAAGCGGAAAACCATGAAGATGATACATATGAAGATGATAGAGACGAACCAGTTTATTTTGACTATTATGATCCAGATGAGGAAGAATGTTAGGAAGTTTGTTTTATGTTATATGGTATATACACTTTAATATATTTGGTATCCTGTTTTACTTTTAAGTTATTATATGGTATGTAGATGCTAGTCTATTTGTTATTTTTCATTATCATCTAACATATTTGACTATTTTTGTTCTATAAAAGCAACATGTCGGATAAAGGCCTAGCACATAACCTTTTTCCGGTTCGTCCTTCGTCGGGATGGTAGGGCATCGTCTTTGTCTGACCCTAGTGGCCTTCAATGTATCCTTCTTACAGGTGGTTCTGTACCAGGAGCCAGTTCATCACCTTTGCCTGATCCTAGTGGCCTTCCATACATCCCTCTTATAGGTGGTTTTGTACCAGGAGCCAGGTCATCACCTTTTTCTGATCCTAGTAGCTTTCCACACATCCATCTCACAGGTGGTTTTGTACCAGGAGCCAGGTCATCACCTTTTCCTGATCCTAGTGGCCTTCAACGCATCCCTCTTACAGGTGGTTCTGTACTAGGAGCCAGGTCATCACCTTTGCCTGATCCTAGTGGCCTTCCATGCATCCCTCTTACAGGTGCTTCTGTACTAGGATTTGGGTCATCACCTTTACTTGATGCTAGTGGCCTTCCACGTGGTGGTTTTGTATCGGGAGCCAGGTCATCGCCCGACCCTAATGGCCTTCCATGCACTCCTTTGTCGGGTGGCCTTTCACGCACTTCAGTTAGGACGGAAAGGTCAGGATTCTCAGGGAGTAGTAGCATGGGTGACATAAATACCCACATGGGCTTGACTGATGCTGTAGTAGATATAGGGGTGGTATAGAATGTTGGGAATGGTATTGCATATGGTTATGAGATGACAGGCAACAACGAAGTCCCTGCTAGTTATTTTTTCTATAATCGGCCTGAGCATGAAAATGAGCCTGAGCATGGGCATGAGTCTGTGCATGAGCCTGAATCACCAATGGTTCAGACGCCCCATTATTCGGGTACACATGGTGGATCAAATGATGCAGTTTTAATGGATCTTATAGGCCATTTATCACACGAAAGGGGTACAACTAAGTCTTTTTTTAATTATTATAAATTTACTATTTTTGATGTTATAATTATCCTTATATGGTTATTTCAATATTGTAGGTTTGGGAGACAAAGTATTGATCGGATGATCTTAAGGATATTTTGGCAGTCTATAAATGATCCTTGGATTACTTAAAGAAAAATTCCGAAGGAAGTTGTCACTTAAATGTTTGAGCGTTTCAGGGTAATATATTAATTATTTATTTTTAATATCTATTTCTCATTCACTGTTATTTTGCAATTTAAATTTTACTTTTTATTTTTAACAGACTCAATACCAGTGGGATCCAAATGAGGAAGGGATAATTCGTGAAGGTTTTGAGAATACACCGAAAGATCGCTACAGGGGTAGAATGAGGGATGCTACGGAAGCATCGGTAAATTCTGCAAGAAAAGCTGGCCACGTTATCACAGAAATTAATAATAACTTTGAGATTCTTGCAAATTACAATACTGTTGAAATACATATAGATGTTGGCGACGTTTGTGCAGGGCAAGGAATCTAATACATTATTGCTTATTTTGTTGTTTTTTATTTTGTATTCTAATTATATATATATATATATATATATATATATATATATATATATATTTCAGAAATGGGACACGGATGAGTGGAAAAAGTTGTCCAAAAGTGGAAAAAAAACGTAACACTGATTCTGGGGGGGGGGGGGAGCCACACATACGGGTGGTAGCATTGGATTTGAGGAGCACCGTCTTAAATTGGTAATTAATCCTAATTATAGATTTTAGTGATACATTTTTCTTTCAACACTAATTATATCAATTATGTTATGTTGTTTATATAGAAACAGCTAAGGGGTGAAGACCCCTCATTCATTGATCTTTATTATAAGACACATCTTACCGCCGAATCAAAGAAAATATATATTTTGGGGGAGATAAAGAGGCGCCAATGGATTTTGTGAATGAGACATCTAGGGTGGCGATCGTAAGTTGTCTTTATCTTTCTATATATTTACTAATATTAGTTTTTACTTTTTAGTACAATAACAAAAACTTTCTTTTGGTATATTGTAGGAATCATATAACACAGCCCTATCTCAAAAATATGGTGATGATCCGACTCAACATAATGTGAATGATCCTGAATTGTGGACCCAAACACAATTGCTTAGGAAAGGCGGGTAACAAAAAGGTCCTATCTATGGGGCAAGATACTCGGATCTTCACTTTCTGATGACGGGTGCATATTCTTATAAGTCAACTTCAGCTTCTGCTAACTTTGCAAAGTCACAACAGGAGGTACTATTATTTACATAATATATTATAGAAAAAAAAAATCAAGTAAAGAGGTACTTAATATGGCTGCAAAATATATGTTCATTTTGGTAATGTACATTGTTGTTATGGGTGAATATTGAAATATGTTGTCATTATTAATATTAGGTAAAGTGCATTGTTATTATGGTTGAAAATGATACTATGTTGCTATTATTAAATTAGGTAAAACATAATGCTATAATGGGTGAAAATTATAGTATGTTGCTATTATTGATATTTGCTAAAGTAAATTGTTGTTATTGATAATAATTAAACTATATTGATATTATGGATTGGAAATGTAGAGTGCAATGGTATAATGGATGAAAATATAGTATGTTATTATTATGCATATTAAAAGTTATTATTATGGATGTTAAAAACAATGTACATTTTTATTAGCAATAGTGTGTTATATATTGAATTAAAAGTAAAGTACATTGTTATCATGGTTTAAAGTTGAATTACATTTACTAACTGCATGTGTTTGTCTTGCTATATTTAGGTAAATGAGTTGCGACAAAAAATGTCAAACATGGAACAAGCCATGAAAGAAAAGCAAAGTGAAATGAATTTGCAAATGCAAAAAATGTGAAATGAAATGGAATTGTAAGTGCAACGACAATTGGCGTCCTTTATGAAACAAATTATTCCGTCCGGTAATCCACCAAGTAGTTCTTAGTTTTTGTTTTAGAACACTAAATTAATGTTATGTTATTGACCAGTTCTTAGTTTTTGTAATGGTATTGTAATGGTATTTTGAGTATTTGAAAGTATGAATGGCATGTTAGTGACTAATTTAATGGTAATGAATGTAATGGTATTTGACTATTATTTTAATTATTTATTTGGTTTTTTTAGTAGAAAATTTGGATATTTTTTAAATTATAAATTTAACATAGCAATAGATTTTTGACTGAATTGTAGGAAATAAATATTTTGTAGGAATTATAAATTTAATATAGCAATAAAAACTGGTAAAAAATTCATAGAAAGTCTATAGGAAATAAATACTCAGTAAGTATTCGGTAGGAAATAAAATCCAATAAAATCTGTAGGTATTCCGTAGGAAAAAATGTTGGTATGTAATCTGTAGGTAAAGTAGTTGGTAGGTATTCTGTAGGAAAATCAGTTGGTAAGTATTTTGTAGGAAAATCAGTTGTAGGTAATCCGTAGGTAAAGTAGTTGGTATGTATTCTGTAGGAAAATCATTTTGTAGGTATTCCGTAGGAAAATAATCCGTATGTATTTTGTAGGAGTTACGTAGCTAAATAACTCGTAGGTAATCTGTAAGTACTCCGTAGTTAACGTGTTCTGTAGGTATTCTATAGTTAAATTTGTAACAGAATATTCTGTAGAAAATGCGTAGGAACGTTTGTAGCTAATTTGTAGGAAAAAATTACCCAATTAACTTGTAGGTAATTACTTGGTTTTCTAGTAGTGTTTACATGAAAAGTGAACGAACTCAGATCATTGTTTCTGATATTGCTGGGGTCGTTATTGTCACCTACCTCCTTTACAATCTAGTAATGTCCAAGGGGCTCACATGGGTGTTCTGTATGTATGGCGTGCCACTGCTCATTGTAAACACTTCACTTATTTGTGTTACATTCTTGCATCACACGCACTCTTCATTGACCCACTATGGTTCAACAAAATGGGATTAGATGAGGGGAGCTCTTAGTGTTATCGATAGAGTTGATGGGATCTTGAACATAACAGGCCACAACATCACTAATACTCACGTTACCGATCATTTATTCCCGAAAATACCTCATTATCATGCAATGGAAGCCACGAGAGCAATCAAGCCCATATTGAAAGACTATTACAGGCTTGATGACACACCGATTTTGAAAGCCTTATACAAAGAAGCAAAAGAATGCATATATGCTAAATCAGATGATAATGAAGAGGCCAAGGGTGTCTTCTGGTTTGACAATAAGTTTTAATCACGAGAGATTGTATAATTGTATTTTCCAAATAAGAAGTCGAAGTCTATTGCTTAGTAATTTTAGATTTGTGTTTGTTTTGATGTTGGGGGCAAGGCTAATCTATTAGTGTAATGACCCAAAAATCAGGGGTAAACATTTCATTTTTAATATAACCCAAAAATAGATATCATTTATTTTAATAATTCCAAATCATTGTTAATTAAAACCTCGACACCGTTTATTCAAAACATTTGAAATCACCATTAAGTAAAACATTTATCAGAGTTCGTCCCTAAATTATTCATTGCATAATTCATAGGTGTGTGCATTGCGATCAATCTGAGCTCTTCATTTCCAAATCAAAGATGCTTGAAACCATCAACAAAACTGTAAGCACGAAGATTAGTAAGTTCCCCAAAGCATACCCACAGACAATCACATACATCATATCATGTAGCTAAACAGCTATACATAACACATAAGCCATGCAAAAACAACACATAAGGAAGCCCTAGAAACCCTCCAGGGTCTTACTCCGGGTGCCATGGGAACCTCCACATGGTCTTAGCTCAATGCCTCGTAAACCCCCCCGTGGTCCTTGACCTAGGATGCCAAGGAGACCCTCCAAGGTCTTACACCTAAGTTCCCCGGGAACCCCCCAAGGTCTTGACCTAGGATGCCAAGGAAACCCTCAATGGTCTTACACTTAAGGGCCTCAGAACCCCCCAAGGTCTTCCATGCAAGTATCACAAAGACCACTAGCATATCACGTACTACAGAATCAATTAACATACCACGTAATCACTAACATACTCCCTATCACATAACCAACTAACATGCCACATAATACAACTTCAGCTAGTGTATCACATATCATAAAATGGGCCGACATTGGTGCCGTAGACCCATTGGTATGGTGCGAAGACTCACATACCACCGCAAGAGCTTTCTGCATGAATTCCTTAGCTGCTGCCCCGACAGCTTCTCGAGCTGTCATTTCATCAAACAATATACCCAATTAGCAATTGGGTCCCATACCATAATCCTTAATCCATGTATGGGGTAATATGGCCATTCTACCCCTGGCCCAGTATGATCCAAACTAAGGTCCAAACCCAAAACAAATGCCCAACACTAAGTGGACTTGCCCAACCCACTAGTTGTGACATCCCCAAAATCACGGCCAGAAAAGACCGATTTTGTTTATGCTTTATAAAAATCAGAGTACTTCATTTTATAAAAAGGTTGCGGAATTTGTTCCCAGAAAAACACGATAAATACGTTATTAAAACATTTTCGAAGAAACGTATTTTTATTCATCTTAAATCGTTTGGGATGTCATCGTTAATACAGAAACATAAGCATAAACAGAACTTACATTTATTTACACTAGTTATCTACATCTCTTTAAATCTCTCAGTGTAAAGTGACTTCATATCAACACCTGTGATATACATAAACTGAGTGGGTCAGGTTGGGAAACCTAGTGAGTACATAGGGTTTTCAACCCACAATAATATACTTGTTATGTTTAATCATCAAACAATTAACCCCATTACCCATCCCTGTTATCTTCTTTACTCTTAAGGATTTAACCTAAGAGTCGTCTATCCTGCATTTATTTATTCCGAAGTCCCTTACTTCCAGGGTTATAGGACTGGCACTAAATCCATAGCTGCCGATGTTAGTTCGTAAAGCACTAATTTCATAGCTGCTATATCCTACTCATCGGGTACTAAATCCATAGCTACCAGCGTTCAACAGGTACTAAGTCCATAGCTACCAATTCCTACAGGTACTAAATCCATAGCTACCAGTGTCTAACTAATAGGTACTAAGTCCATAGCTACCAATTTCTAACAGGTACTAAATCCATAGCTACCAACGTCTGACATGTACTAAGTCCATAGCTACCGGTGTTTGTCCCATAGGCACTAAGTCTATAGCTGCCAATGTATACTCACGTCATCTTGTATCTCTCATCATCTATCTACCCATCATCATACCACACATATTTGTACATATAAAATACGTATACAGTTTGAATCCTTTAAAACATGTATAAAACGTTCATCCAACATAAACAACAAGTATTCAGATCATATGCACACATAGTACGTAGTTTATATTAAATACTTCATATCTATGTGTAAGATGAAAGGGACTATGCACTCACAACACGTAAATTATATAATAAATACTTCATATCTATGTGTAAGATGAAAGGGACCATGCACTCACCTGATTAGGTGGTGATTCCGAACTCAGACAACACTTCGTTATCTCAAAACAATTTTCCTCGACAAAACCTAGTATCAATACCACTAGGGTTTAGTTTTTAACGTTAACCACGACTAATTAATAGTCTAGCTATTATTACTATTATATAAGCGTTAAATAACACTCAATATAACTCATAATAATAGCCTAAATAATTATTTTAAGGTCCTAATAATGTTACCATAATTAAATAAAAGCTATATTAAATATAGTATAGGCATAACTCACTTACAATGGGTTTTTATTAAAAACCGGGCTTCGTTGGAGCAGCGTTTCCGAGCCGAAAGCTTTTCTTCTCGAAGCCGTCGGGCGCTCCGGGGCTTTCTTCTCGTGATAGGGAGGTTCCGTAGACTTGGGAGGGGTTTAGGGAGGCTATAGAGAAGTTAGAGAGAGAAAGAGAGGCTTATGGTGTGAAGAAAATATGAGGAGTTCACCCTTGTATTTATAGGAGTTTTATAGTAAAGTAGCCTCTAAGCTTCATCCGTAACTTTTGCATACGAGCTCCATTTTTGTCTGTCTTTTTACCGTTGAGATCCTATTAATGAGATCTTCAACTTTCGTTTAGACCTCGTTAGCTAATTCTCATTCTATCTCGGATTTACAAAACTGTATCGAATTCGCCGCGCTCGAAAAGTAGGGACTAAGCTTCGTCCATAACTTTCGCATACAAGCTCCATTTTTGTCTGTCTTTTTACCGTTGAGTTCCTATTAATGAGATCTTCAACTCTCATTTAGACCTCGTTGGCTAATTCTCATTCTATTTCGGATTTAAAAAACTGTATCGAATTCGCCGCGCTCGAAAAGTAGCGACTAAGCTTCGTCTATATCTATCTCATACTATCTCCGTTTTCGATGTTCTTTATATCCATGTGTAGGTAAAAATAATATCTACAACTTTCATTTTGGCTCCGTCGGCTAATTCTCGACCGATCATAAATTTAACAGTAGGAGGCGTTTAGACTGTTAAATGATCGCGCAGAATTCGTAACTCTTTCATACGAACTCCGTTTTCATCCATCATTTTACTGTTGAGTTCCTATTATTGAGATCTTTAACTCTCATTTAGGTCGCATAAGCCAAAAACCGCTCGAACTAAAATTCCAGTTTCGGGCTGTACACTACTAAGCTGAAACTTTGAAAAATCGTAACTTCCTCATACGAAGTCAGATTTGGGCGTTCTTTTTATGGATTTTCTCATTTTAACATACTCTACGACTTTGGTTTAGATAACTAAGGCTAAAAAGTCCTCTATCATAAATTCACTTTTTACGCTTCCCGGTGTCGTGCCGGTTTTGCCGTAAAACTTCGACGGGCCATAACTTCTTCGTTATAACTCAGATTTCGGCGTTCTTTATATGTATGGAAAACTTGTGACATATAATATAACTTGGTTAAAATTATTTATTCTAAATAATCTTTTGCCGAAAAGTCGTTTTCGACCCATATTGCCTCTAAATTGACTTGCCCGGATCTACGGGCGTTACAATTATCTCCCCCTTAGGATGATTACGTCCCGGAATCATCAACGAAACAGGGCTCGTATAATGACTCCATACGTCATCTCTTCATCCTAGGTAATAATTATAACTTCTATATTCCTTCAAGTCTATCTCTTAGACTCATTGACTGTAAGCAGTACTCGATCGTGCACCTGCTCTCTACCTCAGGCTAGACTTCAAATTATGACCTATCATCATGTGATGCACGTTTAGACTTAGGTCTCTTAGAGTTAAATTCTAAAATAGACTATGCCTTCCTTCATGTTCTAATGTGATATAATCACACTTTAACACGTAGCGTTTCTGGCTACCAACTTCTTTAACAACGAACGCGATACTTCTATTGATCACTTTGATTTCAATTGTTTGGTTTTTGTCGGACGCTACATCGAACTTGGTTCCCTGAAACACGCAACATACTCATCGTAGTCGGACTCAATTCGGTACGACCACTAGGGTCGGAAATTAACAATCTTTTTAGTCATTATCGAAACGATGGTATTGACATACTTGAAAAAAAACAGAATCAGTTACTAGCTTCTTGGTAATCCTTGTGACTTTCCCTGATCCAAGTGTGAGTCCTGTGCTTCCGGTAGTATAGGCCTCTACTACCATTCACACCTACTCATACTCGTCAATACTCATCTTCCCTTTCTTCAGGTTCTGAAACTCGTTGTTTAGGTCTATCAGATCTACCTCCGAGCAGTACTGCAGTTTCAGCTGCTCCAAAAACTCTTCCCACAACATCCTTAAGGCTTCTCCTCGTGGCATCGTATCTGCCAATAGCTTCCACCAGCTCAAGACTCCAGCTTTCAGCTGTCTTACTGCGAAGACAGTCTTCTGTTTCTCATTACAGCTGCAGCTCTCAAACACCATCTCCATCTCAGAGATCCAATCCATAATCTCAACCGGCTTCGGGCTTCCTGAGAGACTTGGGGGTTTCTCACCCAAGAAATTCTTGTATATCCACCCATCCTTGTTGTTTCTCCCTTCAGTGCCATCCCTTTTCTCACCTTGAGTCCCTACTTGACTCACTTGGCGGCTGTAGTTCCCTTCCTCTGATTGCTCGGGAACTGGCTCTGTAGGTTCAACATGTACGGTAGGTTCGTCCCTATTAAACATTTGTCTCATTTCTTCCCTTTGTTCAACCAACATAGCCCGAATCATGGCTTGAACTCCAGCCATGGTGACTGGATCAAGCGCAACTTCTTCTACAACAGGTATCTGCTGAACCACTGG